ACGTGCATTTCAAATTTTTAAAAAAAGTTTACTGAAAATTAATGAGTTCATATTTGTACGGCAATTAAGAGAAACAAATACGTTTTCTTTGGAGATTTGGAAGGATTCACTTACATTTCGGGTTTCTAATATTATAGCAAGCACAATTATACCATGGAGAAGAGTGTAAAACGTAGATGAATTTAACATTTTAAGTCTACAGAAGCATCTTGTACTTACCCTGAGACAGGTCTGCTTCAGGCTACCCCCATACTCTATCCACATACCAGCCAAAAGATCGCCCGAGTGTCTTATCTCATGTCCTGGGAGAGATCATTTTCACCCAGGTCAGTTACAACCCATGGTGCATACATTACAAAGCCTCTACTGAGCAGGTTTCTGTGGGTGTGGGGAGGCTTAAGTAATTTTCCACAATTTCCTGAAGTGTTATTGTCTCCATTTTATTAAATTTACAAACTGAGCTTCAATGAAGTTAGAAGTTCTTGCTCAGCTAGCAAAGTGACAGTGATAGAGACCTGCTATTGTCTGTCCATATTGCCACAACCCCAACAGAAGGGCATGACAAGGGTTCCAGCGCTCCTGCACTTACCCACATTCCTGAGAGTTAACAGAAGGTGTGCTTTCCTTTATCTCCTGTGCACTCCAGGCAAGTAACTTCACAGAATCCTGAACTTCCCTGCAGACTGTACCCAATTAACTGAGAGATGTAAATCCCAAATTACTCCCTTTTCTTAGTGGTCAAAGGTTTGAATAATATAGTATCAAGGTAATCAAAAGTCTTGTGATTTGTATAAATTTGTATGTACAAACATGTAGCAATGTATGATTTTTTAGGCCTTATTAACTACCTTATGGCAAGCTTGATTAGCGCCTCTGCCAGGTGTTATTGATAAAAAGTTATGCGAGATCTCTGGTAACTGATGCCAGAAAATGAATGGACCATAAATGTCATTATTGACAAAATGTGGCTGTGACTTAAGTTCTATACAATGCTCTGCTAGTCATGTAGTCAATGTTTAGATACCAACTACCCTGAACTTATAAAAGCAGACTATAAAACTTGACAGGTGAGCAGAACCATTTTAGAAAGGCCAGGAGCCCACTTGGGCACGGAGGCTCATGCCTATAACCCCAGCACTTTGGGAGGCAGAGGCAAGAGGATTACCTGAGTTCAGGGAGTCGAGACCAGCCTGAGTAACATGGCGAGACCTCGTCTCTACAATAAATAAAAAAATCAGCTGGGCATGGTGGCACATGCCTGTGGTTCCAGCTACTTGGAAGCTAAGGTGGAAGGATCACCTGAGCCCAGCAGGTCGAGGCTGCAGTGGCCATGAGTATGATCCTGTACTCCAGCCTGGGTAACAGTGAGACTCCAACTCAAAAAAAAAAAAGACCAGGAGCCTGACTCTGCTCCCTGGATTCAAATTCAGAAATAAATTTCTTTCTACGAGTTTTTCTGCCTCTCGATTTATTAGTGTCGAGGGTTAGCAGCTGAGCGTTACTTTGGACCATAACAACAGGAGATGGACTTTCCACTACAAAGCCAGTGAAGATGAGAGTGGAGGCAAGGCACCTTTAAGAAACAAAGTTGTTTCCAAGCCAAGATGGCAGGATGAAGACAACACGCTGTTAACAACAGGTCATTTCTCAGGGGCAGTAGTAAAAGGAACTTTCACCTTCTACTTTAACTGCTTCTGTAATATTTTAGGTTGTTACAACCAATGTGTTTTCTTAATAGTTAATTAACAACAATGTTGACAATGTCAAAAGGTTGGGTTGGAGACACTAAACCCAAATAATTTCCATTGGTGTGATTTCAACCTCACTCACCCAGCCACCTTCTGATAATGTCCCACTGAGGTGGCTCATAGAGAGAGGGGCACTGGCCAAGCTGATGTCACTGGATGGTCCCCCTGTTTTCTACTTCTCATTATAAATGAGTATGACTCGGCCGGGCACAGTGGCTCAAGCCTATAATCCAGGCACCTTGGGAGTTGAGACAAGAGGATTGCCTGAGCCCATGAATTCGAGACCAACCTGGGCAACATGGTGAGACCTCGTCTCTACAATAAAAATAAATAAATAAATAAATGAGTATGACTCAACAGATTTTTATTCTCTCATTCCCAACCCTTCCTAGAGTCTAGAAAACAGAAAGGAACAATGCAAGTCAAAGCAGAAGGGAAAGAAACAGTTTCTTTCAGCACTGTAACATACAACTTGCTCTGTGTACAAAGTCAGATTGTCTTGTCAATGCTTGACCCTTTGTCAGAGAGCAAATAAAGGCTCCTTTTCTTCATCCATGACTGTGTTACTCAGATGTCTTTCACTTACAAGGCATAGAACTCCACTTTGAACTGCCTTAAGAATAAAAATTGGAGTATATTCTATAGGTTAATATAAGTGAGAAATCCAATGCTAGATCATCGGCTTCAGGCATGGCTGGATCCAGGTGTTCAAACAATGTCATCATGCCTCTGCCTGACTCTTTTCTCATCTTCCTTTAGTGCTGACCTTATTGTTGAGCAGATTCTCTGCACACTGTGGTCCTGGCAGCCCCAGGGTTCCATCTTCTATCCTCTAACTTGGAAACCGAGGAGAAAGATAGACTTTTTGCGAGAGTTTCAACAGAAGTCCCAGAATTTAATATCACGGTCTTGGCTTAGATCACACACCTATGCCCAAACCAATCACTACAGCCAGCAGGGTGAAGCATGCTGATAAGTCTGCCCTGAATTGCATCAAACCCCACCCCCACCCAACCAGAGTAAGAGACCAACCTCACAGGAACCCCACAAAATGACTATGGGGAGCAGTGGTTGCCAAAAGTGGAAACAGATAACTGTTACCAAAAAAGGGGGAAACACATGATGGGCATGGGGAAAAAAACAGATGCCAAGCGCTAGATCCTATGCCCCCTTCAGCTTGACGTGAAGTGAGACATGACAGAATGAAATAACCGATTGTCTAGCTGAAAGTTGAGAAGAGATAGGATGGGATGAAGAGTGATCTCACAAGGGAGAAAGTCTCGCTGGGGCTGGCAACTCCAGGACATAGAGTGTGGGCTACCACGACTGCCCCCTGGTGTGGGGGAGAGGGCAGGAGCTGGACTCTGTGTGGCCCTCAACAGGTGGCATGAACAGCAAGGACCCCTCACATGTGCTTCTGGATTCAGGGTGGTGAGGGAGTGGACGTGCCACCCCACCCTTCTGTCGTTCAGGGCAAGGTAAGGGTGTTGCCAGACAACAGGCTCTGTTGGCACAGAGATGACAGAAATGCAGCAACTGAACCAAAGGCAAAAGCAAACAGGCAAGGCTTTACTGGAACTTCTGCTTGAGCAAGAGGGAGACGGCTTCATCCAAAGAGATGGTCAAGCTGCTCCCTGGACAAAGCAACAGGCAAGCTTGTATCGGGTGTCTCGAAAAAGAGGGGGCTTCTCCGGTAATTTTTTCATTGCTCGCTGAGTCAACTCCAAATTGGATAATCCTCTGCTGTTTGCATTTCTCGAGGTAGGGGCGTCATGCTGCAGCTGCTTGTTGAGATAAAACCAAGGTTGGCCCACTGCTTTCGGGAACTATTCTCATTACCAGTATCCTGCTGGTGCTAGCCAGTGCTCACATACTAGCTTTGTAGTTAACTGCTGAGACAAAGGAAAAGAAAAAAGAAAAGCATGATGGAAAGGTCAACAGGAAGAAAGGAAGAACTACAACATGATTTTTAGAAACTCACAAATGTGTATGGCATGTGTAAACAAGAGTCCAAGCCTTTTGTCCGATGGTGGAAGTCTCCGACTCTCGAGAGGGTCGTAACTGTTATGCAGCTTGTATCTGTCCCTCCCACCTGAGTCCTGTTGGTTTGAGTCACTTGCGTGGAGTTCAGTTGCATTTGCAGGAACTGACGAGATTGACTCACGAGACTGGGAACCTGACCTTGGACGCAGGTAGATTCCACAAGGTCCTGCCTGGTGGAATGCCCCTTGGCAGGCAGCCAGCAGGCCTTCCTTGACCACACCCCCCATTGCTTCCAGCCCTTCCCTGCGGGGCTGCGCCAGAATCCTGGGAGATCACAAATGAGGACCCCAGCATGGGGCCTGGCTCAGAGAAGGCCCAAATAAGTGGCAGATGTTCATAGTACTGTGGCATACACAGCGTGCCTAGGACAACAAAGACACCTCTCATCAGGTACATGCAGCACACAGCAGGACACCAATGGGATGCCCATGAATTGGTAACTGTGATTTCAACTCTGGTGACTGTAAGGAACAGAATACAGCAGCAAGTGCTGAATGCTTGTTTTGTTTTTGTTGTTCTGTGTTTGACTGGGTTTTCTCCTCCTTCACTTGGAATACTTTGCTCATCACTCCTGTCTTCTTTACAAGGCCGCCTGCTCAAAGTGCAAACAAATGATTTTCCACTCATCCTGACATCCAAAAGGTTTTGTCTGAGACCGGTCTGTGGCGGTATTTCTCAAAGTGGGAAATCCACCCAGATCAGAATTAGGGAGATGTTTATTAACTGTGCAGATTTACAGATCTCATCCAGACCTGCAGAATCACAGTCTCTGAGTTGGGGGCCTAGACATCTGCATTTCAAAAGGTCCAGGAGTCTGTGGGAGTGGGAGGATTCTCATGTATCCCACAGTTTATAGGCCACGGTCCTGTGGGCACGCAGGCACCTGGTCCCAACAGGAAAGTCCTGATTCACTAGGCCCTGCCCCCTTTGGCCCTTCTATCAAGGAAATTCAAAGTCTCCAGACCGCGAGTTACTGATTAACCCCAGGTTCCAAGAAAATAAATAATAATAATTGAAGGAACAGCGTAAGCCGAGACATAACCTGGGCAGTCCAGGGAGAGAGTCGTGCCAGACAGCTGTTGCCAGCAGGCACCTGGCGAGAGCAGAATGGAGAGTCAGACTCCGTCCAGATCCCAGGGGCACTGACTGACACACCCTGTCAATGCCCAGGCACTGAACGGCCGAGACTCGCAAGCTCCTGTGCCCAGAATGGCTTGTGCTGAGACCCCGCAGCTGCCCCAGCCCAACTCCACAGGAGCCACCACAGCCATGGGCCCCCCCAGGGGTCATTGTGGCTCCGCAGAGTGCGACCTGGAGTGCCTGGTATGCCGGGAGCCCTACAGCTGTGCCCGGTCGCCCAAGCTGCTGGCCTGCCAACATGCCTTCTGTGCCGTCTGCCTGAAGCTTCTGCTGTGCGTGCAGGACAACACCTGGTCCATCACCTGCCCACTGTGCCGCAAGGTCACGGCCGTCCCTGGGGGCCTCATCTGTGGCCTGCGTGACCAGGAGGTGGTGGTGGGCCGGCTGGCCCGGCTGTGCCTGGAGGTGCAGCTGTCTCCTCAGGGGCTGGCAGATCCTGCTGCCTCAGCAGTAGGGCACCCCAGCTTGGCCGGAGAGGACGGGCAGGACGCAGTAAGTGCCAACCGCACAGCAGCCCGGCGCCTGGCCGCACACCTGCTCCTACTGGTCTTGCTCATCTTCCTCATCCTGCCCTTCATCTACCCAGGCGTCATCCGGTGGGTGCTCACCTCCATCATCGCCCTGGCCCTGCTGATGTCCACCCTCTTCTGCTGTCACCCCGGTAGCTGGGGCGGCTCCCCCAGAACTCTCTTCTGCAGAGAGCAGAAACACAGCCAGATCTTGTCCATTGCCTGAGTGCTCTCTGATCAGTTGCCCCTGCGCCCCCTTCTGCCTCTTGGGCCCCCTGACATCCACAATGAACAGGGTGAGGGGCTGTGGACTAAGACTGGCTCCCTGGGGAGTTTACACACTGGCTGGACTTGCAAGCCAAAGCCAGGATGGCCGTCTTGGGTCAAGAACTACTTACTTGGATGATGGGCTGAGCCTGCTCCTGGGACAGCACGGCTAAACTGCTGGGGGGTAGGGAAGGAGGCACATGCTGCTTGGACACTGCAAGGGCGCCTCCTGTTCCTCTTATTCCAGTGGCCCTGATTTTACTTTGTGTAACTTGGTGAAAGTATTGCAGTATTAACGCTATTGCCGAACAAATAGAACTGGAACTCCTTGTTGGCAATGTATGTAGCTGGTTTTATTTTCCTGGTTTGGTTTGGTGTGTATTTGTGGCAGTTAGTTCCACATTTTCCTGGGACGTTGGAGTTCACAGGGAGTCCTGCTGTGCTTCCTCTGACACGACCCACCTTGTGTCCATCCCAGCCCCGCCAAATGTCCTGGCTGCTTGGGTCTCCATGGAGTCGACCCCAGGCTTGGAAGGAGAGAATGTGTGTGGAAGGATGATATCTCTGGTGTTGTGGAGGGAGTCCCACATTCAGCTGGCAGAGTTGGGAGGGGTGGGTCTGGGAATTGCTCCCAGTGTCCCTACCAGGAGTCCCCAGCTTCATGCCATCAGTCTCTGATTTAACAGAACATCTCAGGGTTTCAAGGACTGCTCTCGACACACAGCAGGTCCAGCTGCCCATCTACTGCCCAGTACCACATGATAGAGTCAAGTCTTTATGGATGTTGCTTCCTTTGTTATTGCATCTCAAGGCCCATTTAAGCTTTTGTCATAAAGATAAAAGGCTCCATAAATGCAACGGTCCTCACCAATCACCCCACCTTCCCAGCCTCACCCTGAGAGTCACAAAGCTTTGTGTGCCTTCTCACAACCATTTCTGCTTCTTCACGTAGGGAAGCATCGGTTGGAGCAAACGGCTTTCCATGGTTGCCAGGGCAGGCCTCAGCCAGGGGGTATTGTGGGACAGTAAGGAAGCAAAGGGTGGGAGGTGACACACGATTTCCTTCCAAAGACCCATAATGGGGAAACATACTTGAAAGCTCAGAGGGGCTTACCAGACCCAGGCCATTGTCCTTTTCTGGGCTGCCCCTTTTCCTCCAGGTAGGATTAGAGTTACAGGATGGACACTGTTTGTGGTGACCGTGTCTTTGCCAGGAAGGAACAAGAGAATTCTACCACCGGAGCAAGGGGCTTTACCCCAGCTCAAGAGTGATTGTGTTGTTGAGCAAGGTCTTTTGCCTCTCTGAGCTACATTTTCCCTAAAATAAGCTAGTTGGACTGAATTATTCCTAAAAAAACCCTGAAACCCCAGGAGCTGAGGGCACTGCTGGGCCCTAGAGCAATGAACATGGGTCATATGCCCTGGGGACTCATACAAAGAGAAATCAAAATGTATGTATGCAATCAGCTGTTCTTAAAATCTGGGTGCCTTTTTTTTTTCCTCATAGGGTACTTCCAGGGCAACTCCAACACCCATGCCATTGGTCTTGTCAATGCCTGGTGCTGACAGTGTGAGTCAGTGGGGGAAACAAACCCATGCTTTTAAGCCAGACCAGGTAGGCCTGAAGAACACCCCATCTCCTAAGGAAGAGTAGAAGAGGATTGCTGGGTATTTCCTTAGGCATGTACCTTTTGGGATGACTGCCAGTGGCACCAGGAAGGAACATTTTCTCCCCATTCACTCCTCTACTGCCATTTGATTTAGCTCTTGGACCCTTTTCCAAGAACAAAACTTCTGCCAAAGCTTTAGTTGCTGATGACAACACCATTTCTACCATTGTAATGGTGGGCACATGTTTACCTGCTACTTACTATGTGCCAAGTCTAGAACTAAATGTCTTACATGCATTATCTAGTTAATCCTCTTAGTAACCTTATAAAGTAGAAGCTGTTATTATCCCTCTCTTACAGAGGAGGAGACTGAGGATCAGAGAGGTGAATTCACCCGCCGAAGGCTACACAGCCAGTCAATGCCAGAGCTCCCTCAGAAATTAGCCCATGGCTCTTTCTGCCTCATAAACTGCCTCCTTTTTGTGCAGTTCCAAAGCCACCAAGAAGCTGGTCATCACCTGCAAACTTGTAAAGGATTCCACGATAACAGGAAACTAATTTCAGGAACCTCCAATTCTAGCTGCCAGGTGCTCAGAGAAACCAGAAAATGTCATAATCTCTCATCTATGCTAAAGAAAAGAAACAAGAATGATGGAAGTGGAATGGCTCTCCTGTAGACTTTTACAGCCCAGCTCTCCCCTCCCCTGCAGGAAGATGGGCCAGCAGGAACATTGGCAGCCCAGGTCTGAAACCCCATCCTTGCCCTTAACAGATCATTTTACTCCCCTGAACTTCACATTGTGGAAATCAGAAAGGCCCTGATAATAGCGAAACTCTTGCCATCATCCATGGTACTAGATAGGCCCCCAACCATGTGCCCTCTGTCCTCCTGGGCAAAGATGTTCTGACACTGTCATCGCCCTCTTTGAAGCTCATCAGGTCCCAACCATTTCCTAGCCCCTGGCAGTGTGGGAGCAGAGAGCACCAGAGGTCAGTATCAGTCCAGGCCTTCCTGCAAGGGAGCAGAGGAAGTCGACAGCACTGCAAAAGGATGTGCATGAAGAAACCAGAGAGCCAGCCAGGGCCCAAAGCCAAGCTCTGACCCAATGTGTATGTGACAGAAGTTACAGAACTTCCCTGAGCCTTAGTTTGCTCAGAGAAGGTGAGGGAGGGTGACACACTCCTCCTAGGGCCTCCGTGAGGATTCAGGGTACTGCTGGATTCGAATCTAGTGTTCTGATTAACAGACTGCCTTCATCATCAGTCATTGACTCCCCTGTGTGTAAGGGTTTCTTGGGGCATGCCAGCAGGGTGTGCTCAAAATGATGGCCAGCAGGGGGCAGGCCTTGATGACAGGGTGGGGAAGCCAGTGGAATGGGAAGCATGATCCAGGGCGGGCCAATCTGGTGAGGTTTGTGCTTAGGTCCTGAGGGTTAGTCCTGAGGATGAAGAGGAATGGTGGGGAGGCGCCAGTCTCCATCCTCTTCAGACTCATCTCCCTATTCGGCAGCCTTGGCGGCAGACATACCTGGCTGGAATTCCAGCTTCTCCTCCTACCAGTCACTTCTCTCTGAGTCTTGGGTTCCTTACCCATGAAACAGAGGTTACAACATATCTCATAGGGTTGCTGGGAGAATTCATGAAATAATCCGTGGCTGAGCACTTAGGATCATAAGGAGGGAAAGATGGGGAGAAAGAGAGCTTGAGTTGAGTTCTAGAAAGCTCTAACAGGAATGATGAGAACAGGATCATTTTTTAAAACCTGGGTGCTAGAATTCGTCCTTTCTTATCAGCCTCAGCATCAGTGGCATCCTCAACAACAATATAATAATAACAATAATTGCTGAGATTATTTGAATGCACTGTGCAAGGTGTAGTACATATATTATCATATGTGCTATAAGGTAGATACTATTATTACCCCCAAAGTATCAATGAGGATTCTACGGCACAGAGAGGTTCAGTGACTCGGTCAAGATAACACAGTGAGGCGGTGTGGGGCCAGTACGAGTCTAACTCAGAGTTTGAGCTTTGAGTCACCTTGCTGTACCACGAGCCCTCTGCCCCTGAGGGTGAAGAATTAAGAAGAGCGGTATTCTCTCATTTGGTGGCAGTTTCCTGATTCAGTGGGTGCCTGGGGCCAAGGGTTGTGGGAGCCTCCCTGTCCCAGCCCCCATAGCTACCTCCTTACCTCACTTTATAGCCCTGATTTATTGCCCTATTCACTGGTAGAACCTCTTTTCAAATAACTGGAAGAAGTTGTTCCGCCTTTGCTAGAACAATTAATTCTTTGTCTGTGGCAAAGCAGGACTTTCCTGCCATTTCTCCATCTGTGAAAACAGCATAGAACACAACAGAAAGAGAAATTAGATCCAAGCTCTTAAATGTACCTGGAGTTGTTCTTATATACTCTGTATTTTTATCGGACTATCTTGAAATTACTTTTTAAATGTTGGGGGCAGTACATCTCTGGGGTCAGTAGAGAGCTCTTTAAAGAAGTCAAGACACCATGGAGTCTAGAATCCATCCATCCATTTGTCTATTCAACAAATATTCACTGAGATTCTACTCTGTGCCAGGTACTGAGCAGGGTTTGCAATCTTATTTGATGAGGAAGGAAAAATTAATAGTTGCTAAGCATCTGAAATGGGTTGAATTCTGTCCCCCCACAAAAGATATGTTGGAGTCCTAACCCTCAGTGCCTCAGAATGTTGCCTTCTTTGGAAACAGGGTTTTTACAGAGGTAATCAAGTTAAAATGAGAGCACTAGAGCGGACCCTCATCTAGTAGAGCTAATATCCTTACAAAATGGGAAATTGAAGCCGGGCACAGTGGCTCATGCCACTTTGGGAAGCCAAGACCAGAGGATCGCCTGAGTCCAGGGGTTCAAGACCTCATTTGGCAAGACCTCGTTTCTACAATAAATCAAAAAATTGGCTGGGCATGGTGGCGCATGCCTGTATTTCTAACTACTTCAAGAAATCATGCCGGGCTCGGTGGCTCAGCCTGTAATCCCGCGCCTTTGGGAGGCTGAGGTGAGTGGATTGCCTGAGCCTGCAGGTTCGAGACCTGCCTGGGCAACTTGGTGAGACCTCATCTCTACAATAAAATCAAAAAATTAGCCGGGCGTGGTAGCGCGCGCCTGTAATTCCAGCTACTTGGAAGACTGAGGGGGAAGGATCACTGGAACCCAGCAGGTCGAGGCTGCGTTGGCCAGGAGCAGCCACTACACTCCAATCTGGGCGACAGAGTGAGACTCCAACTCAAAAAAAGAAATCAGCCAGGCATGGTGGCACATGCTTGTAGTTCTAGCTACTTGGAAAGCTGAGGCAGAAGGATGGCCTGAGTC